CTGGAGTAGCGATTGGACTAGAGGATGACATACCTGCATGACTAATTAACTTGTAACATCCTTCAGGCACTCACACTGGTGTAAGTTAGGGACAGTAGGGATGTAAAAATTCACAACTCTTATGAATACAGCTCCATGTGTTTGAGTTCTGTGTACCTAGAAACCCCTCCACATACTCCAGTCCATAGAACTGGTTCAAGGCAAATTTACACTGAATTCACTTGTACTGTCCACATGCAGAGAGATCTACACGAACTTCGGTTTCACATAGATCTCCCCAGTAGTAAAATGGAACTTAGGAGATAGGTGTTAGTATGTTGGTAAGTAGGGAACATGTCACAGCTAGAGAACAAGTAGAACTCTACTGTACATATGTGAACTACAGTAACTCCTCACTTAACATTGTAGTTATGTTCCTGCGTAAATGCGACTTTACGCGAAATGATGTATGTAAATGAGGGGGTTAGGTTCCAGGGAATTTTTTTCCACCAGACAAGACTATATTTTTATACATGTATATTTTATACATACATACATATACACACACACACATACACACAGTAGAAGTTTAAACAAACAATTTAATACTGGTACACAGTGATGATGATTGTGAAGTTTAGTTGAGGTGGAGGAGTCAGAAGGTGGGATATTTCCCAAGGAATGCCTTACTGCTAAATGATGAACTAGCAATTGGCTGAGCCCTCAAGGGTTAACTCTCACACTCTACAAGGCAGCAGGAATGGAGGGAGGGGAGACAGCACTGCAGACAGAGACAGAGACACACACCATGTGTGTGTGTGTGTGAGAGAGAGATGCGCATTTCCCCTTTAAGTACACTGCCTTGTTAATTAGATCAGCTTGCTGAGACCGCAGCTGCTGCCAGCAAGCTCCCTCTGTCCTGAGCCCTGTTGTGTGTCCCCCCTGCGCTATGGAAGATGGGGTAAGTGGGGTGCAGGAGCAGTGGGGAGGGGGACACCCTGACATTAGCTCCCCTCTTCCTCCCCCTCCCCCCCCCGCACAGCAAGCAGGAGTCTCAGGGAGCAGCTCCAAGGCAGAGGGCAGGAGCAGCACATGGCAGTGGGGGGAGGGACAGCTGCAATTGCTAGCCTGCGGGCAGCTGCTGCACAGGGGATTTAGGTGAGCGGGGAGCTGATAGGGGGGCTGCCGGTCCACCCCGGTTCCAAGCCCCCACCAGCTAGCTGCAAGGGGCTGCTCTTCCTGTAAGCAGTGGACAAAGCAGGCGGCTGCCAAATGACATTAGAAGGGAGCATTGCACAACTCTAAACGAGCATGTTCTCTAATTGATCAGCAACGTAACAACAAAACATTAACCGGGACGACTAAGTGAGGAGTTACTGTATACGTAAAAAAACCCCCCATAAGTGTAGTCTTATTTTTCTTTTTCATATTTGAAGAAACTTCTTAAAATATATTTGTGAAGTTATTTGTATACAGTAATACATGTCTTTTTATACATATACACATGAATTTATGAAATAATGCAGGGAATATTTTCACAAGGGAATTCTGTCTATTCATATGAAATCATATGCTGTTGTACAAGCAAAAATGACATTTCTTAATAGGCTTAATGATTTCCTTCTAATAGCATCTAATGGCTTCCATTCCTAATCAATCATTTTCTGCATATTAACAGTGATGTAGGGCCACTTCCTCAGAACTGTGGAGCACCTACACTTCCCACTGACTTCACTGAGAGTTGCAGGTTCTCAGCACTTGTTAGAATCAAAAACATAGCTCTTGAATCCAGCAATAACGTTACCCAACAGCTATCATGGAAACTTCCTCTGAAAAGTGCAATTACCTGTTCTATTTCCTTATACTCTGTCCATGTATTAAAATAATGATTTTAATGAAACAAACTGCATTTCTACTATCTTGTATTTTCATCAAGATTTTGCTACCACAGAGTAGAATACTATTGTTTTATGTCTGTAGTCACTCAATATCTGCTGTCAGACTTACCGGTAAGTAAGTTTACAGGTAAAGGAAACTAATAATTTTAGCTTTTGAATAATAAAACAAAGTTTTTATGCTGAAAAACCACAGTAATATCTATCTCAGCAGATGTGTGTCACTAACTAGCATTTACTTGCTACAGAATGTTAACTCCATAAAGGATCATTAAAAAATATAGCCCCTAAACATATATGCACAGCATCATATTTACTGAACAAAAACAAAAGTTGCAAATTTGTGGGTGCAAATTAAGTGGTCAGTGAAAGTCAGGCCCTAAAAGCCAAGCAGTGGATAAAGTCATACAGCAGTCACAATATGCCAGGTCTGTCTTCCTTGGCTGTATGCAGTGTTGTTGTAGCCATGGGTTTTTTGTTATTGTTTTTTCTGTTCTAGGACTAGCTTCTTACTTCCATATGCAATGTTGTTGTAGCGGTGTCGGTCGCAGGATATTAGAGAGGCAGGGTGGGTGAGGTAATATCTTTAAGTGAACCAACTTCTATTGGCAAGAGAGACAAGCTTTCAAGTTTACACAGAGCTCTTCTTCAAGTCTGGGAAATTTACTCAAGGCACGTCTACACTACAAAGTTAAGTCGACATACAGCCACTGTAGTAATTAAAGCGGTGTTTCACATCCACACCATGCTCCTGTCAGTAGTGCGGGTCCTCACCAGGACCCATCGACTTAACTGTGTGGGGCATTGTGGGGCACTGGAGCCCCGCCTGCCCTGCATGGGGCTCACAAATGGAGCCCCCACCCCGGGGCTCCAGCTGTAAGCCCCACATGGGGCTGACAGCCAACAGGCGATGTAAATAATATAGTGTCTACTTGGACACTGCGTTGCCCTGACTACATCAACCTAAATGCTACTCCTCTCACGGAGGTGGACTTATTAAGTCAACGTAGTGAGCCTACTTACATCGGCAGGAGCACCTTTATAGTGTAGACACATACAGAGTTACCTGCCTTACGTCGACTTAACTCTGTAGTATAGACCAGTCCTCAAAGAGTAACAGCTATATAAAAGGTGGAACAGATTGTTTAGCATAAGTAATTAATGTATATTTTAAGGGACCATTCAAGGTGAAGTAGCCTGTTAAAACCCCGCCAGTGATAGGGGCAAAAGGAAGGGGGAGGAGCAGCTGTGGGAGCGGAGTTGTTACAATAATCCATAAATCCAGTGTCTCTATTCAGTCCATGATATTTAGTGTATAGCAAAATTATGAATTTAAGTTCCAAGGCTCCTCTTTTGAAAGTGCTGTGCAGGTGTCCTTTTGAGGATGAGCACTGATAAATCAGATGTCGAGTGATCGCTTTGTGATGGCTTATTACGACAATCTATAACCCGCTAACCACCCACCTCCAGCTGCACCTTGTCTCGCTTACTTTTATAGGCAGATATCCATGAACAAACTACTGAATTTATATTGGCAGGGATTAGAGATGGTCAGAAACCAGGGGAAAAAGTACAAAATATTTTTTCAATTTTTTGCATTTAACTTAAAGTTTTCTGACCAGCTGTAATATGGTTTTTTGGGTTTTTTTTTTTTTAGCCATAGGCCTCCTTTTTCCAATGAAAAACTCTTGGGATTAACTACAAACATCTGGGAGGCTATGCATTTTAAAACAAATACAGCGTAACTAGATTCCAGAGCATTAGTAAATTGTAAATTAACTGTGACTGGTACTGTTTTAAATATTTGAATTTAAAATGTGTTTGCTAAGGAAAAAGATTTAAGCAGCTAATATCACTTCCAGCTTTCTGACTGAGATGCTTTTATATTTATTAGTTTACAGAGTATATTACAATTTTAGATGAGAAGTTGAATATTTGCAGGTTGGTACATTTATACATGGCTTAATGAATTATATTTGGCCCAAGTCTTGTAAAGTGGGTAATTATTTCTACAAATACAAGAATAAAACAAGTTAAAATCCAGCTGATAAGCTAATATGTAGACTTCTGTTTCAGACACTGTATCATGATACACCGTGTGCGCGATCTTTCCATGGCAATTAGTTACTTCTCTTGTCTGTTATGGTATGTAGGTGAAAAGAATGGGGCAGAGCCAGATGATGCGGAATTGGTGAGCCTCAGCAAAAAGCTGGTGGAGAACGCAGTGCTCAAGGCGGTACAGCAGTATCTAGAAGAAACTCAAAACAAAAACAGACAGACTGATGGAAGCCCAGTGAAAACGGAGGAAGCAGCTAGTGGCAATAAGAATGAAAAATGATAGCGATAACAGAAAGTGAGCGCTGTGAGGATGCCAAGGAAGCACAAATCCACCAAGAATAACCATCAAAACATGTCCCAGCTCCCTGTTCAGATCTGCTAAATTATGCTGGCTGACTTGCATTACGCTTTGTGAGCGTCTCTTACCAGAAATGTGTTCTGAATCGAGGGGCACTAACAAACACTTTCCTGAAAAGCGTTTGCATTGCTGAAAAACGACTGAATGCTGGGAAAGATGATTGGGAAAAAAAGACAAGATTTTGAAATAAAAAGATCGAACTTTCACAAGCTCTTAACTACAGAGAATCTCTTCATAGCTTTCGAAGAGGAACTGAACCCCTTGTGTATGCCTTTTGCACTGAAATGAATGGCCATGGAACAACACCCTGCCATAAGTGAAAACAATGCGAGCTACATTGTTTGGCAGAGCTGCATAACTGCTCACTTGATCTAGAACTCCACATTCTGCTGCAAAGCTAAGAGCAGTCAATGCTAAACTAAAAAAGTTACCACTAGAGATGTTTATCACAGATACTATTACACAGTAGGTAATATCATGGGAGTTTCTCTTGAATGTGACACTATGAAGTGTTCTTCACTTTTCGGTAAAGTTTGTTCACATAAATTATATTTTTTGACAAAACACTACCTTTTTATATACAATAAACATGGATGAAATTCTAAGTACTTAAAGGAAACACATGCCTGTTTTGATACATTAATGCCATACTTTAATATTTAGAAATGACAGTTATATGCAAAATGTATTGTATCATTCTTTTCCTCTAGGGAAGAGCCATGAATCAGACTTAATAAAGAAAGCCTTACACAGAGAATCGCTGGCCCTGTTATCAAAACTGAATAAGATAAAGGAGCTCTTATCAAACCCTGAGACCCGGATGAAAATTAACAGGGAACTGTTTCAAGACATACATAAACAGCAGTCGTCATTAAAAAGTCATGTTGACTCCAACTCTCCAGCTATGTGATTGTAAATAGCTATGGTGTAAAATCTCATATGGTTGTTTTATGATGAAAAATATTGTTTTTGCAAGTTTTCCATCTCTGTTTTTTTTATACAGCCAATATAAATGAAAGCCAATATAGTGTGTGGTATTGTGTTAAAATACATGCACAGAAAAGAACAGACTGTTTACTGATGAGTTACAGTAGCTCTCTAGATCAAGTTTTGGATGGATGGAAGGAAGGAAAAAGTTAAGGATGCAGGTCTATGTCATGATTCTGCCACAGAAACACTAATTTCTGATCAAACACTGTGGCAATTCTAGAACACATACTCTCAAAGTGATTTTTAAAATGTATAGCTGAAGAAGGCATTTTTAAATGATTAGTCTTTTCTGTATATGCTGGTATTTTGGGTTGGCACTGATTCTTGTTTGTTAGTTAATCAGCACTTGAATACACATGTACACATGCTGAAATGTTTTTTCTGCTATTGTTTACATGCAAGCAAGAATGTTTTAATCTCTCAAGGTAAAGTCCTGGCTCCACTGAGGTCATTGGCAAAATTTCCATCGACTTCAGTGGAGCCAGGATTTCACCCTCATTATTTATTGTTAAAATAATCATTGTTCAGAATATTTGCCTTGTCACTTCTGTGGAAACAAGATGCTTCTTGTTTTTATTTCTGTTGTTTCCTCCATCTCTTTGCCCTCTGCTATGTGAAAAGGGGTCTGAACCTGTATTCCATGTGCACTCAACATATCTACTGAGTTGAGTGGAAGTATTGGGTGCACACACACAAAAATGCAGGATTGGGCCCAATATTAGCACTTTTTAAGCATTTGTGGAAACTGCCTACAATTGTAAAATCATCTACTTAATCATGCATTCTGTGATCAATATCAGATTTGTGCTGGTAGAACTGCAGTATAAATATTAAGGTTTTATTCATCAACTATGAAATTGTATTGGTATTTTATCTCATGGATCAGCTATTTTTTTCTCAAGTGATAAATGAGAGCGTATTGAAAAATGCATCTTATGTATTCGAGTCCATCTTCCTAATAAAAACATTTTCTCTTTGCACTGTGTCATCTTCCCCCTCAAATGGGCTTAGATAAAATGAAGTACCACCTTTGAAGGTAACTGTAGCAGAGGTAATTAAATGACTTGGGTGCAACTCCTCCCTCCCCCACCAACTCATACCTAATTATATGATTTTGGCTGTTATGTCCAGGTGAGAATATTGAATCTGGATGCTGAAACCCTATAAATTAAGTCCTGAATCTTTCCGAATCAGTATATATTGGAAGAAAATGCCTACCAGTACATTACATTTTTAACAGAATTATATGATGCCCCATGTCAAAATTTAAAGGACAAGACACCGAACAACCCTGGAGATGAACCTTTTGGAAGTTTCTTTGCTACATTGTATACTACGTGGGTTAGAAAGAAGTACAATTTACTATGTGCCCAAATCCTAACCTCGTTGAAATCAAGTGTTGACAGAGGAAGCAGTTCAGGATTGGGTCCCATACATAGGTGCTGGAACTAAGGGTGCTGCTGCACTCCTTGGCTTGAAGAGGTTTCCATCATATACAGGGTTTACAGATTGGTTTAATGGCTCTCAGCACCCCTGGTCCCATATGTCCATCCACAGTTCATTTGTGAAAGAAAGGAAAGAAGGAAATTTGCCATCAGTATTGGAAATAAAAATCCCAATTTTCAAAAGTGGCTGCATAAATTACACACACAGCAATACCCACTTTGTGGGCCCAGAATATGGTTGGTTATCCCTTAGGCTAGCTAAAGACAGAAGGGAAAAATGGAGAGGTACTTATTAGCACATGTGCTGGTTTATCAATAGTATGCTATTCATCACCGCATCAACAATTTATGTCTGTAGAGCAAGATAGACAAGAATAATCAACCAGGCAATCAGATGCATAAACAAAGGAGCTATACTATGTCTGAACTGAGTTTAAGGGGGGAAAAAAAACCTACCATTTTTATTAGCTATTTTCTCCTCCTAAACAGTCTAATCCCAATACTTTTCAACTAATTGGCTATGCCGACTAGTATTCTCATGTGAATTTATCAAAAACTTTTCTTTCCTGCCAAAACACTTAGAAAAGACTATTTTTATAACCCAAGTCATGTCTGGTGGTGCTAGCCTGTCACTTTAGAGCCACGAGACTCTGCAGCCATACTGTTGTGGCCTTGTATACAGATTTCTTGTACAAGGTTTGAATAAAGGCATTGTGTGGCATGACATACTGTTGATATGATGGTTGCCCTGGAAAACATGGGCATAAAATCATAGAACTGGAAGGGACCTTGAGAGGTCATCTCGTCCAGCCCCCTGCACTCATGGTAGGTCTGAGACAAGTGTTTGTCTAACCTGCTCTTAAAAATCTCCAAATGATAGAAATTCCACAACCTCCCTCGTAAGTTCGTTCCAGTGCTTAACTACTCTGACACTTTAGGTTGGACATTAGGAAAAACTTCCAAACTGCCCTTGCTGCAACTTAAGCCCATTACTTCTTGTCCTAGCCTCAGCAGTTAAGGAGAAAATTTTTTCCTCCCTCCTCCTTGCAACTAACTTTTATGTACTTGAAAACTGTTATGCCCCCGCTCAGTCTTCTCTTCTTCAGACTAAACAAACTACAGGACCCCACTTGATATGCCTTTTCAGTTTGACAGTGAACCACTCATAACTATTCTCTGGGAATGGTTTTCAACTAGGTATGCACCCACCTGATAGTAGCTCCATATCTAGGTTGTATTTCCCCCATTTCCTTATTAGAAGGTCAAGTGAGACAAGATATACCACATTTACCACTTCCCCCTATCCACAAGGCTTGTTACCCTGTCAAAGAAAGCTATTTGGTTGGTTTGACATGATTTGTTCTTGACAAATTTATGCTGACTGTTACTTATCACCTTATTATCTTCAAGGTGTTTGTAAATTGATTGCTTAATTATTCGCTCCATTATCTTTCCAGGTACTGAAGTTAAACTGACTGGTCTGTAATTCACCAGGTTGTCCTTATTTCCCTTTTTATAGATTGGCACTATATTTGCCCTTTTCCAGCCCTCTGGAATCTCTCCCTTCTTCCATAACTTTTTCAAAGATAATTACTAATGGCTCAGATATCTCCTCAATCAGCTCCTTGAGTATTCTAGGATGTATTTCATCAGATCCTGGTGACTTGAAGACATCTAACTTGTCTAAGTGATTTTTAACTTGTTCTTCCTCTATTTTAGCCTCTGATCCTACCTCATTTTCACTGGCATTCACTACATTAGACCTCCAGTCACTAATAACCTTTTTGGTGATAACCATAACAAAAGAAGTCATTAAGCACTCTGCCATTTCCACATTTTCTGTTATTTCCCCCCACCCCCACTGAGTATTTAAACAATGGTTTGTCCAATTTTAGCTTCTATGTCTAACCAACACATTCTAACTTTCGCACATTGAGTATGTCACTTCTGAGCACTGCCAGCTAGGACTTGTCCAGGTAACAAGCGGAGATGTACCTCAAAGGTGGTTTTAAGGATTGTTAAAATAACTGGAAAAAATCAGTAAATCAATTAATATTCATGCCATCTCTGAGGTATAAAAACAGCAACACTTCCATGGAGGAAATATGTATTTGAAAAGAGCGGGTGTAACTGAGTACTTATGCTTTGGAACCAGATGATACTAAGTCAATCTGAGCATGAAGAAAGTGTACTTGCTTTGGAACCTAGATAAAGGGCCAGATTTGCCCATCTATAGGGTTACACCAGAGGTTAATTGTATAAATGGAAGTTAACATCAAGGATGAATGTGTGTCAACCTTGGGTAACAGTAAAACCAAATGGTTTTTTCTTTCTTGACTAAAGGATGATATAAATTCAATTGTTAATAGGGACTTGACAGTTAGGGCTATACCTTAACTCACAGTAGTACTTTAAGTCAACAAGTGGTCTCACTGAATTCAATTGAATAATATTTTGATAAAGTAATCCTCTGTTAGAGTTTCACAGTCTGGCTCTTAGACCTCAAAAGTTTTCATCAGCTATATTTACAGGGATCTCGGGTTACACATAAATACACTTGCTAGGTCTTATTTTGTTCTCAGCAGCTATGTGTGTCTGTAACATGGATCCAAGAGGAGGGTCAACTTACACTGGGGACATTTCAATAGTGTTTAAGCCTATTGCCAGTCTAGCAATGCTTTATGTATTTTGTTAGAACTGTGATTTTATCAAGATCTATAGTGATATCCAAAACTTTCATAAAATAAGGTGTTGGTAAAAATGAAACAGGAAAGAAATTGCAAAGGCAACAGTATTCAGCACAGCTTGTAAAGTCATGTTTTTAGTCCAAATACATTTTTATGCAATTCAGTTATATTAAACAGGGTGGATTGATTCAAATAATGGATTTTAATGATGATTTAAGTCAGCAAGCAGAAAAATCTTGATTTAAATAATCAATTTTAATCTTGTTTTGTAATTGAACTTTTCACCTATTTCCCTAAAGAAAGGCTGATTTCATAGGGTGGTAACCATTAAAACATGTTGACTTGCAAGTAAATATAGTCTTTGCTCTAAGTTTGCTACTCCTTTTTGCTAACTGGATGATGCACTATATATCTATATGTATTTTTAAGCAATTATATAGCTTAATATGCATTTCTCCAGAGTCTTAATTTTTACATTTATGTTAGAAAATGATGAACACAATATTTCTTATTTGGTAGATTATTTTCTCTCATTTGTGTCAAGTTAAATTTGGATGGAAACTGAAATTCAATTACAAATGAACTAAACCAGCATATTAAAAAATTGTTTTTATTAAATAAAAATTACCTTAAATGTGTTGGATACTTAAGAAAAAAGTTTAATGAAACACATATATTTAAAACTCACTGATTTATTAAACAAAGAAAGTATATCCGGAGTTAGTGGTTTGAAGTGACTGTTTCTGGTCACTGTGTCCTTCAAGATTTTAGAACTAGTATATCTTGTCCTCTCACACCTCAATTTTTATTCATAGATTGGAAAAGAAAAAATGGCATTAGTACTTTTTAAACTCCCAATTGGTTTCTCAACTTTGAATTAATTAGTAATTGAAATTAAAAAGTGAATAAACTAAAATGAAGTAAACATTCTCAGGGCACCTGCAGAAGAGGCTACTGCTTTCAAAGACTAGTTTAGCATTTCAGCAAACTCTGGTTCCAGGTGCTCAGCCAGTGACTTTCCACTAATTCAGTGGTTTGACTTTCTTTAAAACTTCAGCTGCAAAGATGAATTGCTTAAATATTATTTAATTTTAAATAATTTTAATAGTATGATTATAGTAAGTTTAGACCTTTTGGGGTGTCAATTTTAAAATAGGTTTATTTTTAAAGAGAAAAAAATAATTTTAAAAATCATTTCTATTCTCTACCCCAATATGAAACAGTGTATTAATGCAATTAAATGTAAATCTAAAAGCTAACATTAAATCTGAAAACACTGGATGAGTCAATGAAATATGCTCTCTGTGGGCCTAACCCATTTCCCACTGAAAGCGCTCCAGTGACTGCAGTGAAGGCTGATGGGAGCCTGTGGACTGGTAAACAAAGGCACTCAGTGAATTTATCAAACTTTGTTTTCTCCTATTTCTAACCTGGGCTTTTACTGCGTTCGTACAAACTTTTTTAAAACCTCTATTAACGGTCTCTTTTTGTACAATGTTAATGAGCTATTCTTTTGATTTAGCCCCAATCTGAGTATCTGAAACATTACTCAGTGCAGTTCTCTAGTGAACTCTCCTGATGGAGAAGGCAAGCAGTCACTGGCCTCACAAAAAAGATCAGGTAACTGGACAGAGAAGGCTCTGATCTTCCTCCCCAAGCAATGCCATAGGAGAGTTCATGGAGGGCAGGGGGGTTGTATGTACTCTCCTAGAGCCAACCAAATAACCAGATAAGTTATGTGATTAATTGGCAGCCAGTTAAGGTAAGGTATGCTTTAGCTTTGTGAAAAATACTCTAAATAAAGTTAATGGGCAAGTTCATTATATGTTTTAGTATTTGAATTGTATTATA